TGTTATAAAATGGATAATCATCCATCAATACATATCTATTATCATGAATGGATAAGCATTAATTATCCATCTTGATTAGTTTATTTTATTGTTTCTTCCTTCTTAAGAAACCAAAGCCGACTTGTATCCCTATATAAAGGGATGTATCCTTCTGTTAATAATGTGAACTCTCCGGCCTCTCTCTCTTTGATCACTCGTCTTTCTCTTATATATTGTTCTCTCTTGTCTTAGTTTATATATACACACACATACAATGATACATACACATACGTATAAGACACAAATCTCACCTTATATTAGTATAGTTTATAACAGCAATCATTTTATTATTTTAACATAGTACAAGTCAGGTCTCATGTTGTGTTAGTAGTAGTATTAGTTGTAACTTATATATTATGAACATTCATATATCATCTCTTTATCTCTTAACCATTTGATATTTCATCTTAACTAAATTCAGCTTTATCTTACCTTTTTTTTTTTTKTTTCTTAAGCAGAGTTTCATCAATTCGTAAAACCAAAGTCCTATGTCAACTTATTTGCTATAGATATTGAATTTTTAATGGTTCTAATCTTTTTTTTTTAATACATAGAACTGATTACTTAATTAATCTTCCTACAATTCCTCCTAATCTCGCCTTCACTACCACCGGTTATCCCTCCCATTTTAACCATAGCCTTCTTAAAACCCTCAAAGAAAACCGTCTGATCCGCTGCGTAGCTCTCAACAATCGACCTCGTCCCTGGATCCTGAACCGCTAAAGCTTGGTCCGAAGGAAGCAATCCTTCTCCCGAGAGGAGGTTGACATAGTACTGATTGTCGAATGTTGATGGTGTCACCAAGTCAAGTTGAGTGATAGCCACGGTAGGGTCCACGGTCGAGCATAGCTGCTGCAGCGACTCGAGGAACTCGAGGTTGTCTCCTTGGTTAGCTGGTTGTCCAGTTTGCAGTGGTTGCAACCGAGCTGTAAATGATGTGCACTTTGCCTTTCCTAATGTATGTCCACCTGGTTTTACAATTGGTTTGAGTCTCATTATATTCGGGTTTTACCAAACCGGTCGGTATTAGATAAAGAGATAAAGAGAAAGAAGAGTACTTACTAGAGACTCTATACCAGAAAAGAATATTTGATTTGTTTATAAGAAATAAAGTATATGTCCTAATGATGATGTAATAGACGGCGAAAAAAAGATTGTATACCGGAAAGAGCGACCATGTCGGTTTGTGAAAGACCGAGTTTTTGGAAGATAGAAATGAGAGTTGGTACGGTTGAGTTTGGTGATGGTAAGCTAGTCGTTGCTGCTTGTTTGCTTGCGGTTCTACTGTCTTTTCTTCCTACTTCCACCTCCCAATTTGGTCCACCCGACTTTAAAAAACCGGATTCATCAAAAAGTGTTAAAAATAAAAACCGGTTTAAATTGATTTCGTCCGGTTTATTTAAGGAAGGTTGAAACTAGAGTTACCACAACAACTGAATCTCTAGCAGCCATAGCGAGAATGTCTGCGCATGAGACAGTCTCTGGACATACAGATTCAATATTAGATTTTATCGAATCGATCACTTCGAATCCTCGAAGAGAATTGAGATTCGGCGGCGCGGTTTTCTCACCAACCAGTCCTTCTGTGTCATCCAACAAGACTGAACCATCACATCCCTGAAAATGTAAGTCAATTAACACATCCCGGTTAACACTCTGCTCTGCTTAACCGGTACCGGTTCAAACCAAAACAATTGTGCAATTAAGTATTTCGGAGAGATAAGGAAAACTTGCATTGACAAAACAGTCGTGGAAATGAAGACGGAGAAGAGAAGCAGCCATTCTTGGATCTTGTAAAACCGCGGTTTCGACCCAAGAATAGACGATAGACTCTGCTTCGGGGCAGGTATTCCGGTATAAACCGAAATCAAGAACTAAACCGAATCCTATACCGAAACTTGAACCGGTTTCTCCATTTCCATCTTCACAAGTCTCACTGAAGTTGGTTGGATTTTCAGAGAGTGAAGGAACTGGCATTGCAATGAAAAGCATAATGAACATGTTCAAGAGTTTCTTCATCATTGTTATATGATCTCTCTTTATCTCAATTTTCTTAACATTCAAAGGAGTTATAGTACTATTTTAGGAAGCTAGTGTGTGTGTGTCCATATTTATAGAAACTATTAATTATACAATACAGACATACATAACAAGTATATACTGTGTATATATGTGTGAGCGCAGAACTGCATGTGCACTTCAACAACCCAATTACATATTATGTACTCGTCAAATTAATCATATGCATGTAAATTAATGTGTGTGTGTATATAAGACAATGTAACTTATGGTTTTGTACATAACGACCATTAGTGTTATTTAATCCGATCCATTCCAAACCGAAATGATAAATTCGAAAACCGAAC